CAACGACACCGGTTAGGCTGCGAATCGGGAAGGTTACGCTGGACGATATCAACAAGGCTATATTTCAGCCGAAAGATAAGGTCCCTATCAAAAAGAGACTCCCCCGCCAGTATTGGAAGTGGCTTGACGTTTTCAGCAAGCAACTAGCGAATGTACTGCCACCGCATCGACCAGGAATCGACCACAAGATACCGTTAAAACGAGACCAAAACGGCGTCGAAGAACCACCCCCCCTATGGTCCTCTCTATGGCATGAACAAAGAAGAACTTTTGTACCTCAGGAAGACGTTGACCGAACTGTTGGACAAGAACTTTATTCGAGTGAGCAAATCACCCGCCGCCGCGCCAGTATTACTAGTACGGAAACCAGGCGGAGGTGTCCGGTTTTGTGTTGACTACCGCGGATTGAACGAATTAAGCATTAAGGACCGGTACCCGTTGCCGTTGATTCGAGAGACGCTACGGAATATATCAAAGGCGAGATGGTTCACGAAGCTTGACATTATATCGGCATTTCATAAGGTGCGAGTAGCACCAGGCGAAGAATGGAAAACGGCCTTTCGTACGAGATATGGCCTTTTCGAATGGAATGTGACACCCTTTGGCCTCACGGGCGCACCAGCTACGTTTCAAAGGTTTATTAATCAGACTCTGCAGGAGTATCTAGACGACTTTGTGTCTGCCTACGTCGATGATATTATTATCTACTCAGATGGTTCTATCGAAGATCACCGACAAAAGGTCTACAAAGTACTTCAGAAACTTAAGGACGCAGAGTTACAATGCGATATCAGCAAGTCGGAATTCGAGCAAGATTCGGTTAAATATCTTGGCTTTATTGTACATGCCGGCAGAGGGGTACACGTTGACCCTAAGAAGGTAGAAGCAATACGTGCATGGGAAGCACCAAGGACAGTTCGTGACGTTCGGGGCTTCTTAGGATTTGCCAACTTCTATCGCTCGTTTATACCCCGATTCGCTGCTCTGTCGTCACCGTTGACAAGATTGACGAAGAAGGATACACCATTCCAATGGGATCAAGACTGCCAAGAAGCATTTAATGAACTAAAGGACCTGTTCATCAATGCCCCAATACTGGCACATTTCGAAGAGGAAAGAGAAACTGTTATCGAGACTGATGCATCTGGATGGGCTACAGGTGCAGTACTCTCGCAACGACAAAAAGACGGAAGATTAGCCCCCCTGTGCCTATATATCGCAAAAGTTATCACCAGCTGAAGCAAATTATGAGATACACGATAAGGAGTTACTCGCTATTATTCGGGCACTGCGCGAATGGCGTCCAGAACTGAAGATGGTCCCTCGATTCACCATCGTAACGGACCATAAGAACCTACGATACTTCAACAAAGCGCAGCATCTTAGCGAACGGCAGATGCGATGGGCAGGACTGATGGCAGAATTCGATTTTACTCTCCACTACCGACCAGGCAAGCTTGCAGTATTGCCGGACGCATTATCCAGAAGAGGACAGGACTTACCTCAGGATATCACAGACGAAAGACTATCGAATCGATTTCGTACCTTATTCGAAAAGGTATCGATTCGATATAATCGTACCCACAAGGTTGATGAGACAGATCTCGAATTTGCTACCCCAGTACTACTTTTTGACGATCAAGAACTACAAGACGAATGGGAAAAAGCAAGGCTAGCTGATAGTGTCTACCAAGCCTATTCAATAGCAGTGAAGAACGGTGAACGCAGTATCAGGATCAAAACAAGCGTGAAAACCAGCCTCTCTGAGTGTCATCTGGACGAACGAGGGTTATTATGTTTCAGACAACGATTATGGATTCCTGAGAGCGAACAGTTACGAACCAGTATTATCCAGAAAGTACACGACTCCTATATCACTGGACACCCAGGACGAGATGCTACATATGCGATACTATCTCGGAGATTCTTCTGGCCTGGAGCGGCAAAGGACGTACGACGATTCCTACGGAACTGTACCATTTGCGGGAGGACTACAGTCTGGCGAGACACGAAGCACGGACTACTAAAACCACTCCCGATCCCACAACGAATTTGGGCCGAATTATCTATGGATTTCATCACAGAGCTACCCCCAGCGAAGGAAGACAGTTCTACAAACCTACTGGTTATTACCGATCGACTCACTAAGGGTGTGATATTGATCGGCATGAAAGGAATTACGTCACAAGAGGTAGCAGAAGCATTTCTGACACACTTCTATATGCATCATGGTTTGCCAAAGGCAATTACTAGCGATCGAGGGCCACAGTTTGTGAGCGGATTCTGGCGAATAGTGTGTGAAAAACTAGCGATTCGACGCCGATTATCGACCGCCTTCCACCCGCAATCGGACGGGGCAACAGAACGAGCAAACCAGGAAGTAGAAAGGATTATGAGAATCTTCATCACCTACGCACAGGATGACTGGAAGGGACTATTGCCAATAGTCGCAGTGGCGATCAATAACCGGAATGCCTCGTCGACAGGACTATCCCCCTTCTTCTTCACCCATGGATATCACGTCGATCCCCTTAGTATAAACGACAATAATACAACACGAACGGACAAAACAACCCCGCCTACTGCCGCAGGCGAATCATTCGTGAAACGACTACGAGAAGCTACTGATTGGGCACAGTCAGCAATTGCAGTCGCCCAAGAAACACAACAGGAACAGGCGAACCGTTCTCGGCGCGCTGCCCCTACATACCATGTTGGCGATAAGGTTTGGCTGAATCTGCGCAATATTCGCTCGCAACGGCCTTCTAAAAAGTTTGATTGGATACATGCACAGTATGAGGTAGTGAGGGTGCCTACACCACACACGGTGCAACTGAATATACCAACTGGCATACACCCAGTATTCAACGTCGAGTTAGTACGGCCAGCAGCCACAGATCCGTTTCCCTCTCAATTCGTCGACGATACACAGCCGCCTCCCATAGAAATCGACAATGAGGTAGAATACGAAGTTGAAGAAATACTCGACCACAAGGAAAGGCGCATTGGCAGAGGCAAACGAACCGAGGTTTTGGTAAAATGGACGGGGTACGCAGAGACTACATGGGAACCAGCGGACGAGATGAAGGATTGTATGGCGATGGATACGTACGAGAGGCAGTTCGGCCGCATCACGAGAGCGTCCCGACCACGAGTTGCTGCCAAAAAATAACATAGCAATACCGATGCTACGGCTTTCAGCCGAAAGATGAGGTGAGGAGGGGGGTACTGTAACGGGCCCAGGCCCGTGGAGATATCACGTTGTGTCACGTGACCTTTTCCTGCAGGAAAACCAGGTAGAGGCTCACATAGATACTCTTCTTCAAGATTATTGTAAACAGCATGCAGGCCTAGCCCCAATTGAACAGTTGTCGCTACAGCCCTTCACATATAACCCCCGAACCTGATGCCCAGCCAGACCGAAGTTTGAGGATGACCCCCTGCATTTACCCCTAAGTACCCACCCTACGCTGAAGCCTATCTTGCCAGTTGATGACTACTTTACCAGTTGGTGCCTACCTTGCCAGTTGCTGACTATCTTGCCAGTTGATGACTACTTTACCAGTTGGTGCCTACCTTGCCAGTTGCTGACTATCTTACCAGTTGCTGACTATCTTGCCAGTTGGTGATTACTTTGCCAGTTGGTGATTACTTTGCCAGTTGGTAATTACTTAGTTGAACTAAAATATAGCCCTTAATGGCCTATTACTGAATCCATTAACTAAAGATTAAGCAGACGAAAATTAAGTAGGTTACAGCCAATATAAAGTCTTTAACTATATGACCCCTGAAGCTGATGCCCAGCCGGACCAAAGTTCAAGGATGACCCTCTGCAGTCACCCCCGAGTATACCCCCTATACTGAAGCCTATCTTACCAGTTGGTGACTATATTGCTAGTTGGTAACTATCTTGCCAGTTGATAACTATTTTACCAGTTAATAACTATCTTACCAGTTGGTGACAACCTAGTAAAAAACTAAAATATAGCCCTTAGTGGCCTATTACTGAATCTAGTAGCCAGGGATTAATCAGACCAAAACTAAGTAACTTATAGCTAATACAAATCTTTAACTATTATATGCCCGAACCTGACGCCTGGCTGGACCGGAGTTTGAGGATGACCCCCCTATAGTTATCCTCAAGTATACCCTCTATACCAAGGCCTATCTTGCCAGTTAGTGACTACTTTGTCAAACTAAAATATAGTCCTTAGTAGCCTATTACTGAATCTAGTAGCCAGAGATCGATCAGACTAAAAGTAAGTTGTACTAGTATACTTAGACAGCTGTCAGAAATATTACTCTGCTGTAAATTACGAAGGAGATCCTACCTAGCTATACTACTTTCTCTCTCAGTCATCAGGATTCCTATATAAAAGAAGGTCTAAGGAAAGAGAGAAGAGAAATAATAGATTAGCGTATAGGTAGAATTATCGATTGAGAATAAGGTACGACCAGCGGTTAAGTAACCCGGAAGAGATAACTATGATTATTCAGTGCCTGAGCCTTACATACAGCTAGACATCGCCAGAACCCATGTCAACCATGACCCAACCCAACCCAACCCAGCCCAAAATGGGTTTTGGGTCCAATTCTATAACCCATTGATGGGTTTTGGGTTGAGACCCTTAACCCAAAACCCATGTGGGAACCCACTGGGTCCCCATTTTAGTGTAAATAGCGCAAATATGCCAAGCTCACATGACTTCTAGAATTATGAAATTCCTGCTCGTAATTTAAGGTATGAGTTTACCATCCCAAGGTGTTGAATGCTTTATATTTATTGGATATCATATCATAAACTTATTATCCTAATAAATAAATTACAACTTAAGAGCTAGCAGATTATAACAATTTAATTATAAGATAGTGAATTCGATTACTAGTAAACCTCAAAGATATCATCAGTCCGAGCCTTTCGCTTTCGTCCTAAGTGACGAGGTTGCGATGGCAGTAGAGACTGTGTTGGCTGTAGCTCCTCATGATCATGACTGTCTAAGCTAGGTATTTCCTCTCTCTCCCTTAGGATCTACTATATCTTCCTCCTCATAATCACTAATACCATCCATCTCAACCTCAACCTCCTCTGGATACTCCATATTGAGTTCTCGGACTGCCTCATTCTCCTGTAGGGAAAAGTACTGCTCTAGCTCCTTTGTCTCTGCTTCTTTAAGATTAAATCGTGTCGAACAAAGAAACAACATATGTTCCTCAATTGTTTCAGAGTTCATACGGCCACGTCGGTAATGACAGATATCACGCGCAGTATTAAAAAGCCGTTCAACACCTGCACCGGTTGCTGGAATAGAGAGTATATCTCGAGCAAGCTGTACGATCGCAGGAAAACGGGATTGATTCTCACGCCAGTATTGTAGTGGCTCAATCTCAATTAGATCTAGATAGTAGATATTAGTATATAGTATCATGAATAAATATTGAGAAGAGATCACATACCACCGTCTAGATACTGGCTTACTTCGTCGTCTGTAGGCTTTGTGGCTCTTTGATTACCACTCAACATCTTACTTAGCCGTGAAGTAGATGTAGGCTGAGTCTGAGGATCAGGAGTAGATTGGTTATCTAAGAGACGGGTCTGGTATGGAGATAATGCTGTCTGGAATGATCTTCGGTACCTTACCCGCCACTCATGATCCCAGTCTTCTGAGAGAAAGAAGCGAAATCGGCTATCAGGTGCTAGCATTGTGCTAACAGCAAAGGTATGCCCTCGCATATGGTCTGTCTGTGCATAATAAATACGAAGTTTGTCATGACCAGCATCCAAGGCTGTTAACATTTGCTGCTTCTATGGAATGCGCTTGCGTTTGAGCTGCTTTTTTGTCTGTTCTAAATGATTGAAGAGTGCATTGTAGAGCTTGAAGACAAGATGAGTTGTGACATCCTTTGTTTTTGATAGCTCAGTAGTATAGTCAAAGAATGGCTGAGTTATACAAAGTAGATAGTCAATTTGTCGCCACTCATCATTAGTCAAGAGTATCTCTGTATAATCATATTCCTCACAGAAAGGCTTAAATAATAGGCGAATTCGCTTAGCCCGGCGAAGCATCAAGAAGGTAGAGTTCTAACGGGTCTTGACATCTTGAACAGGTACTAGTCGAGGTTCTTTTGGTTGGAGTTGAAGAAAGGTCTCACGACGTTGAGGACTGGCATTGACGTATATAGCCAGATATCGAATCTTATTGAGTGTTGCTGTAATACTGTAGTTCTGGGCATTCTTTTTTGCTGCAGCAGAATGCTGCTCAGTCCATCTAGTCTTAGTATCCTCATTCTGAGGAGATGCCTTCAGTTTCCCAAGAAGCTCATTTAAACTCAGCTGGATAACGTGTGCAAGACAGGGAATCCGGATAACAGTTATATCAGGTGGCAGACTCTGCTGAAGGGCCTCAATCATTGTTTTGTTGTTTGTTGCGTTGTCGGTGGTGATTCCATAAATCCGATCTTCAATCTGATATTGCTCCAGAATCTGAAGAACAATTTGGCTCAGGTTAGAACCGCTGTATACGCCATGCACTGGCTTAAATCCAAGCAACACCTCTTGGTATATCCAATTTGTATCTACAAAGTAAGCAGTTATTGCTATAAATGCCTGATTATAGGGTGACGTCCAGCAGTCAAGTGCAAGCGAAAGCTTAGTATTAGGAGGAAGGGTTCGGAGGGCCGATTGCTGACGTGTTTCAACGATAGAGTGTAAGCGGCGACGCATCGTTTTAGCAGAGGGTATTAAGGGCTCAGAGGGTGCTGAACGGGCAATACGGATAATCTTGCTAAGCCCGGGAGCTTTGAAAAGTTGTATCGGTAGTCGGTTGATAGTAGTAAACTGAAGTAGTTCCTCCTCCCAGTACTCTTGTGAAAAGGGGATTTCGACCGGAATAGTACTCTAAAACCCACGATTAATTAGTATTATATATGTAAGAGAAATAAGGTTATACCTTTGTTTTTAAAAACCGAGAAATCCCTAAGCCTCCTTTGCCCTGCCCTGCCCGGATACAGTTTGCAGTACCTAAATGCTTCTTTATTGTAGAAGTCCCTTGGTAACCTTTCTTTGTCGGAAGACTATTCATTGGATGCTCCAGAATTACACCGCATCGCTTACACATAACCTTGGGTATTCCGTTCTTGATTAATGCAACCTGATTGTATTCTTGCCAGACATCGCCACTTCGGTTCAAATCCCACACCACTTTGCTTTCCCGCCCAAAATCAGTCTCGATCCACCATTTTACCCAGTCGTCATGTGCCATATTGTCATATAGTAGATATTCTTTTCTGCGATTAGGGCCAACGCGTAGAAGTGAGTCAGGGATTGGTGGAGGGTCAACTAGGCGGAGAAAGTCTGGCTCGCTGTAAGGCTCAAGGGTATCGATAAGATATTGATTCTGGCTACCGGAAGATGTAGTAGTATTCCGTAATGGGGTCAAGTAACCAAGAGTCTCTGTATTCCTATCATATAATGATGGGACAAAATCAGAATATTGACTTTGACTCTGTGACATAATTACCATCAATTGATCAAGGATTTATGGTAAGGCAAGGGAGAAAGAAAACAGGAGAGGGAATACCTACACTAACAAAGAAAGAAAGAAAGAAAGAAAAAGAATTGGCTTATTGTGTATAGATTGGTTGTAAAAGGAGATACATCAGAAGAAGATAGCCCGTTATTCCTGCTGATTTGGTTCTGGTGTAGGTTAAACCCAGCAAAACCCAGTAGAACCCATTAATAACCTGTCAAAAATCTCTTCTAACCCATTCCGACCTATTCCAACCCATTCCGACCCATTGATAACCCATTTCGACCCATTGATAACCCATTCCGACCCATTGATAACCCATTTCGACCCATTGATAACCCATTCCGACCCATTGATAACCCATTCCGACCCATTGATAACCCATTCCGACCCATTAATAACCCATTCCGACCCATTAATAACCCATTCTGACCCATTGATAACCTATCCCGCCTTATTAGCTAGCTTTAATTACTATAGATCTAGAATTTTTATATCTTTTAGAGATATTTCAGCTGAAATAAATAGTTCGTGTACCAAGTAGCCAAAGTGTAAGACCTTTATATTTCAGCGGAAATATAAGATGCTCAGCCTTTACATGAAAGATAAGTATTTTGTTTAAATGAGTAGCAACAAACTGTAGAGCTACTATCTTCAATTCATATTGTCAGAGAGTGTAGAGTTAGACAGGCGGTATCTATTAGGTTCTTATTGGCTGTAAAAAAGGAGGCGTATGTATGGCGTAGTAACTAATAATATTAGTTCAGACGTACGAGAGGTGATCAGCGGTACGGACGAGCTCAGGGTTTAGTAAATAGGGGGGGCTGAGTAGCTCACATGTAGGATTCATACAGCTCACATGTAGGATTCATACCTTAGAGAAGCAGCAGAGTATTTATGTAGGGTATACGTCTTATAATTAGTATAGGTGTAAGTTTTACTATCACTAGCGTAAGTTTCAGGTTCACTAGCGCAGTAACTAGTGTAGTAGTAGGAGGAAAATAGGCCAAAGCGTCGTAAGCACTCGTTAATCCTCAGATTTTGGTTAAGCTGCTTGAGCAGAGAGAGTCGATATCAAAGATCGTAGCAAGTTGGCCGCAGGTACAGAATAGGTTTAGGCAGTTAAGTTAGTCTTATGCTGATTAGTCTCTGTATAGGAGAATTATGGATTATATAAGGAGAATATATGAACATTCGACTTATACTCAACTCAGAAGTCAAGATAGATACTTGGTAACAGTCTATGGAGAGTAGAAGCCTACAATATTTACATTAATTAGTTATATTAATTAGATATTTAAATTATCAGAGATTGATTAACCTTAGGCTACTTTTAATTCCGATAAAGATCAAATTTGAGTAAATTAATTTTGGTGGCTAAGTGGCAGCTTAAAAGTACACTGACTTATGTCCATAGAAGATATATATCTTCGTCTTCTAAGTAAAAAATAGATATTAGCCTAAGGCCACACTTACATAAGGTGGTCATATGACTTAACTAGCCCGTCGGTAAGTTAAGGCTAGCGTAAGTTCGTCACCCGCGTTATCTTCTCAAAACAACCACGCGTCTTCAAAAAATAAAAATCAACACCTAGGACTCTACGATTAATCTTTTAGTAAGTATCTTCAAAATACTGCTCGATAATTCTCCTAGTCTTAAGGCTATTTACCTCAGTTAGATCTGACTTACTAATTTTAAACAGACATTATGGCGATCCATATATATATTAATTTTGACGCGTTCCTGACCTTATTATTATCGCCAGTCTGCCGCAAACTTCAATTGAATAAAAGATATCAGCTTTATAACAGTCAGCAGAATAACCATTCTGGTGAATAGTCATTTAGTACGTTTACTGTTATTCTCAAAAACTATACCTTTGGCCAAGTTCTGGCTAACATAGTTGTTATAGGCGCAGCCGTCTTGGTTTTGATATCCCCGGCGTCGCCATCTCTGAGCCTCAGATTTCGGCTGAAATCGAAGGCCTGTCCTTGTTTACAAGGCCGCTGAGATCCCGCGACCAAACGCGCCTTCTATATCAGATTCCTATTCGAGCATGCCTTCCTTATATTCAAACCTCCAGGTTGCACGTCGCTACATCTGAACCCCAGATTTCGGCTGAAATCGAAGGCTTGGCCTTGTTTACAAGGCCGCTGAGATCCCGCTGCTATTTGTGCCTTCCTTCTGTATCAGATTCCCGTTTAGGCGTACGTGCCTTCCTTATATTCAAACCTCCAGGTTGCACGTCGCTACATCTGAACCCCAGATTTCGGCTGAAATCGAAGGCTTGGCCTTGTTTACAAGGCCGCTGAGATCCCGCTGCTGGTTATGCCTTCCTGCTGTATCTGATTCCCGTTTAGGCGTGCCTTCCTAACATACAAACCTCCAGGTTGAACGTCGCTACATCTGAACCCCAGATTTCGGCTGAAATCGAAGGCTTGGCATTGTTTACAAGGCCGCTGAGATCCCGCTGCTGGTTGTGCCTTCCTTCTGTATCAGATTCCCGTTTAGGCGTGCGTGCCTTCCTTATATACAAACCTCCAGTTTGCGTGCCTGTCAACGGGCCAATCACAGCCCGGGGAGGATATCAGCTTTGATCATAGCCATTTCAAACTTAACTTCTTCAAACTTCTTCTCTTTTATCTCAGTTTCTTTCAACTGCTTACCTCGAAACCGACGGAACCTTCGATCCTTTGACAACACAACTCATTCAACCGCTACCTGCGCGATTCTTTGTTCACCTGCGGGTATTTAACCATGGCGCCAGACGTAGTGAACGAAGACAGACTTCGCTCACTTCTTGAGCGTTCTGTTTCTCCAAGCTATACTGTCTACGATACAGACAACCCTGATATTGAGGACAACCCAAGCCACAACCCAAGCCGCAACCCAAGCCGCAACCCAAGCCACACTGCAGAGATAACCCTACAATTCTGCGAGCCCGAGGGTTCTACTACTTCTTCTGCTCTGGTGTCAAAGAGTACCTTGATTTCTGATTCGGCTGAAATCCAAGGTGGCTTCACAGTGGAGGAACGTACCTTTCGGACTACGTCCGACTTCACCGAATAGCTTACAACTTTGCCGAAAACGGAGGCATATCGAATTCTCAACAATTGCCATGATATTGCCTTTGAGCAAATCAACCTTATCAAACAGATCCTCTGTAATCTCTATCTCTGGGCCCAGCAAAACCAGGTCTATGAGGGTACCCATAATCTTGCTGAATTCGAGGCAAAGTGGGCATCGGTTACTAAGATAGCCCTCAAGCACGCCAAAGATGCGAAGACTATCCAGTCTATTCAGAACAAGGCCGTGTCCAACTGGGGAACCGACGCACAGCGCCTTTTCACTCATCTCCGCAACAAAGGCATATTCGACCAAGTGAACAAGATACTTCGGCAAGGTCTGACATTTGACCAAGTTCGCAATGCAATCAACAATTCAATGGTCAAACGTCTTAGTGTATCAGGCAAAGGTTCCCGCAGCCAGAGGCGTATTATCCTGGGTGATCTTAAAAAGGTTACTGAGCTTCGCAAGTTCCAGAGACCTAAGGCTAAAGATATTCGCACCTCCAATCTCAACCTTACTCAGGATGGCTTTTGCTGCAAGCAAGGAAGTAGCATTACTCCGATGGATTGTAACGACGAACCTACTGGTGACAATCCTGACGATACCACTACTGCCGATCTGGATCGTGATCGAGTTCAAACCATCTCGCCATCACCACAATCTCCTCCTCCTGATACCGATATGCCGGATGCAGATAACGTTCTCACCCTTAGTCTGCCAGAGGATATTCTAATGGAAGATGTACCTCCTCCCACTGACGCTCCAGTGCCTGAAGCTCAACCAAACCAGGCTACCTCACCTCAGACACGCAGATTACCAACTGATTGCATATGTGCTATTCGCTGTACCAGCATAAACCGTATGATTCAGATAGCTTCTAAGCTTAGTACTCTTCGTGCTTGTCTTGTTTTACTCCGTTCTTTCGGAAAAACAATCTACATGCGTGGTGAGATTGATGAGCAGAGTCTGTACCAGGAGCATGCCTTAAAGCTGTTTGAGCTCTTTCAAATGAACTCAGCAAGCAAAAGCCATAAGCAGTTGGCTAGCCGAATCAATTTCTTATATCAGAATCTTGATAGCTTTGACGATGTACTGAAGAACAAGGCGGCCTAGTTTCTGCTGAAACCTAAGCCTACTGATGATGACCAACGTAGTTTTTATCGCTGGGCACCTGAGCCTACTGCAGCTATTCCCCTGATTGCAGACTTCGCAAAATACGAAAAAGAATGGCTACACCCGCTGGAGTTTGTGCACTGCGTTCTTCCTGATCTTAGACCTGCTGCCCAGAAAATTTTAGCAAACAGGCTACCTCAAGACTTGAAGGAAAACGGTTCTATTGTGATTCCTGGGCTTTTTAGCTATCTTTCGACAAACTAGGACGGCCAGCATCCTGATAGTATTATGCCTCTGATTCACAAAGAGATTCAGATGTATAAATACCATTTCCGGCCTCAACCAAACCGTCCGCGCCTTGGTTGGAATCGCGTTATGTAGCACAGTCTAGGCCAGCAACTGATTCGTCAGGATCTTGGCTATTACATAAGCTATGTCTTTTTTCGTCCGGATCATGCCTATCGCCTGGTATCATTTCCTTACTACTGCAAGAGTACGCAGGCCGGCAAAAAAAACCTTCTTCCGCCACATCGATATCAATATCGATGATTACATCCAAACTGGCCGTAGGCGGAGTATTCTCCAAGGCTCTGTCTTACTCACAAACGAGGATGCCCAAAACTGTACCGAGATTCTACCCAAGATGCACAATCATATTGGTACCTGGTGGACAGATGTCAAAGCTCGCCGGATTACAGCAGGCAAAGAGCCTAAGAATGGGTTAGTCCAAGGTATCGATGCTACTATATGGACAGCAGACGATGCTCAGAGGTATCAGACCAATTGGACCAAG